TAGTGGTTTTTCTTGTTCTGTTTTTAATCTTTTTCCTCTTTTTCGACTAGAAGGGTTTTTCTAATTTTATTTCTTACCTCTATTTTTCAATTTCTCGTTGGCAACCTTACGTTTTGTATTTCAAATTCACGTCTGGCAAGTTCTGAAAATGGGTGTCTATTTTTGAGCAATTGAAACATGCCGGCTGCTTTTTCTATTTTTATAGTTTTGAAGAGAATGAAGTTTGTTACCAAGCAAAATCTTATGTGATCGTATTTGAAAATTTTTTTATATTTCTTCGGTCTTTATATTTTAAGAAACTTCGATTTAAATGTTAAGATGTATATCTGGCAATATCTAATCTCTCTCTTATTTTTATTTATTAATTTTTGTTATTTATGACATTAAATCAGGCGTGAGAGATATATATATTTTTCTACAACAATGAATAAATAATTATTATTTGAAGAATAAAATTTCAAAAAATAAAAATGGCAATCGCTTTCTGACAAATAGGAATTTCAAAAAAACTCTCGTTCAGTTTATAATTCAAAACTTTTCTATCAGCACGTCAAATTTAATATCCGTAGTTGCATTTCAGTGGAAGATAGATCGAGAAACATATACTTTTTTACTACAAGTTTAACGGTTTTTAATTCTCGAATTAACGATTGAATCGTAATTTTAATAATAACTTGCTTGAATAATTTTTCTCAAAATTATTCAAGCATTCTTTTCTTTTAAATATTATCTTCGGTTGCAACATTATCGAAAATTCGCTTTTAGAGAAACCTTTTTTAATTTTAAATTCAATTCCAAAGTAAGATTTTCGCTAAGTCTACACAGTAAAAACTGCGGTGCAACACCTATCTGAATTCGATGTTAAAGAACTAATAAAATTGAGTGAGCGAATACTTTAATTGAAGTTAATACCGAGCTGAGCATTCTTATATACTTTAAATGATGTAGTTAAAGCNTTAAAATATTAAGGATTACGAATTTTTTTGAGATAAATTGAGACGGTAGTTTCTTTACATACTACTCGTATGTATTTGTGAAATGTGAGTTCGTCTTGCCAGATTGAATTGACAAATTGAGGCTATTTAATGCCTAGTAAGTTTCAATCCTGTTTACTGTTTGATAAGGAATTATGACGGTAGTCGATTATTTTCCAAGTAATTTCAATTTTCTTGTCTGACTGATTCGATTAACTACTAATATAAACTGTTATTAAAAGCATGCATGTTTTTAGTTGTATAATAAAAATATTTATATTCTCATGAGAAAAATATATCAATTGTATTGAATAATTTTATAATTAACATCTATTCACTTCGATTCTGTTAAGCGTACTTTAGATTCATATTAATATTCTGTCTATACTATTTGTGTGTATGTTTGATTAGTTAATTGAGTAACTAATTGATTAATTAATTGATTAACTAATTGATTAACTAATGTGATTGTTAATCAATTGTTTGTTGTGTTGTATAATAAAAATATTTATATTCTCATGAGAAAAATATGTCAATTGTATTGAATAATTTTATAATTAACATCTATTCACTTCGATTCTGTTAAGTGTACTTTGGATTCATATTAATATTCTGGCTATACTGTCTGGGTGTATGTTTGATTAGTTAATTGAGTAACTAATTGATTAATTAATTGATTAACTAATTGATTAACTAATGTGATTGTTAATCATTGTTTGTTGTGTTGAATAATAAAAATATTTATATTCTCATGAGAAAAATATGTCAATTATATTGAATAATTTTATAATTAACATCTATTCACTTCGATTCTGTTAAGCGTACTTTGGATTCATATTAATATTCTGGCTATACTGTCGGTGTGTATGTTTGATTAGTTAATTGTGCAACTAATTGATTAATTAATTGATTAACTAATTGATTAACTAATGTGATTAATTAATTTTATTTGAAGAAATATTGTATACATTCAGTCGAAGTTAATGATTCTTGCTTTATGTTGTACTGTAAAATTAACTTTACTGATTCGTATGAGCACCATATCTTACAGTACATTACATTTGGCAAAAATTATAATATTTGCCAAATCTAAGACATAATGTTAACATTAAGACATAATATTAATTTTTTGAACAAAAAAGTAGTGCAATACATTTTAGCCTACATACTTTCAATCCAAAAGTTTTGTGGATGGTGTCAGCGAAAATCAAAATCAAAATACTCTTATTTTAAAAATTCATGCGGCTTTGAAATAAACTGGTGAAATCTATTTTATTTCTTTTTATGGATTCACATGAGTATTGAAAGTGGGTTTTTTCTTTGAAAGAAAGACATCAGTCAGATTTTTGAAATCTCTACGCAGTATTTACGATTTACTTGAGATTATATATTTTCACAAAAAATAAAAGAGAGTTTCTTTTTTTAATATTTCGAATGCTTTCTCGAATTTATGATATATTTTATTCTGAATACAAATTTTTGCTCTTCTAAAAATTTCTAATTCGAATTTGTTTGCTTTTCATTCAGTAAAATTATGAAATAATTTGTCTTTCAATAACGAAAACGAATGGCTCCAGTTTGAAAATTCGTTGTGGATTGATATTCCGTTATTAGGAAGTTAGAGATTTTGTAGTCAAAGTAAATATTTTAGGACTTTTAGTCACGGAGATAATTTTCATAGGATATAATTATGATTTTTCACTAAAAACAAAGTAATACAGATTATAAAAGAGATTTACACTGTGGAAACTATAGTGCATTAGTTCTCCGAATTTGGAATAAACAAACCGAAAGATTGTGGCATAGAAAACTTCATTTAAAACGAGCACGCACCATTCATTAATTATTTTCGCATCCGAAAACAGCAATTTTGGGGTGTTTTGGATATCGCTAGTAAATTGTTTATAATCGTGTATTTGATAACGTGAGTTTGTTGTTAGTTTGCATTCTATACCGCTACAAAATATATTTGTGTTTTTACTTGCTATAAGATAGTTATGCTATAATTTTCAAACATATATAAATTATATTAAATAGTTTGATAATATTTAATTTCCACCGCTGCTGTTTAACTTAAGCCTAATTCAAATTTTCTTAATACTCTCTCTGTGCTACGTATATGTTTAATTTACAAACCAATTTTATTTTAAAAATAAGTTAGGACATGTATCCTAAATTTATGATTCTCATTTTATATTGAATCGTAAAAATAACTTGATTGACTCTTATCTGGGTCATATCTTATAGCTATAATGAACTTTTGCCTTACTAAAATCTAAAATGGTGGCAGCTACTTTACACCGAGTAATGTAATAGAACATTCTGTGTGTTTGACTACAACAGGAACTCTTCTTAGTTTAGTGAAATTAGACCCAAGAGTTATGTATGGAATTTCATTGCATTACTTTGGCGTAAAATAGTTGCAGCACTAAAATGTTTTACTTCGCAAAAACGAGTTATTTTCCTTTGAATGGAATTCTTTTGTCATGCTTAATCACTGGATTAATTAAAGCTAGTGATTCTAGAAAAGAAGCACGCATGAAAAGAAATTGGTTTAACAGAAATTTCAACTTTTAGTTGCGGCTTTCTTCAAAAATGATCAAAATATAAAACGATAAATCTATAAAAAAATTCATGGTTTCGCATTGTTCGTATACCGTAAATTCTATGTTTCATCAGGTTAATACAACCAAATCTTCACCAAAACGGTTTTATACACCGTATACCCTTTGTTCAAGTACAAATCCCCCTCCGTTCACCAAAACGGGTTCGTATACCGTATATTCTACGTTTCAGCAAGTCTAAGCCAAGTCAAGTTCACTAGTTTGACTTTTGAAAACATGTAGTTGAACCATGTTTTTTAAAGGTCAAATGTTAACATTTTGGGAAACCATTAAATGAAGCGGAATACCACTTTTTTCATGGCATGCATTTATATCTGCAGTGGTTTGATATTTTTCTAATTTTTGTTTGGTGTCGAATAAGTGTCATGTTTAGAGTAGATGGGTTGTTAAGAAAGTAGTTTTATCACAAATAAAGATTTAAGTGAAAAAAACATTTGAGTTCACAAAATTATTTTAGCAGTCTATGCATGAACTGTCCGCTTACTAACAGTCACATAAGTGAGAAATTCTTTACCTACTAATTTAAATAAAAAAAAAAAGATCTGAATTAAAAGGCACGATGGTTTTTGAAAAAATTAAGTCATTTTTTCTTCTTTTTTATTATAATTTTCTTTTTATTTTCATAACAGTACCACTTCAATAAATTATGTTTCCTGTGAATGAATTCAATTATGTTTTCTATTTAAAATATTAAGGATTACGAATTTTTTTGAGATAAATTGAGATGTAAATAAGTTGCGAGATTCAGACCGATAATGAGTTAATAGGTTTACTCATTTCTATTTATGATTAAGTTTAAACTTTGTAATATTGCCAATTTAATTATGAAATAGACTTATTATAAAGCTGTTTGTGTTTTAATTAGGGAGTATTTATCTATCGCCGAGGGAAATTTTGAATAGGTAAAATATATCTTAAATAAAAAATCGACCTATTATAAAACGAGGATTACTCGAGATACACGTGACCGGAAGGATTAAGCCCTTATTAATATTTTAGTTTAGTATTTATAATCTTACTCCTCTTAAATTTATTCATTTATTTGCTGAAATTGAAAATTTTCAAGTGCATATCTAAGCGAAAGCATCAATTTAATTACGCAGTGCTTTTCAAAAGCTTTTTAAGTTTTTATTTTTAAGTAAAAACTGTTATTTAAAATGTAAACAACTATAGAAGTCGAGTCCCTAAATTTGTCAGTTCAAAGAAAAACAGTAAAGAACAATAATATTGCATTTTTAATTTTCCCTATATCACTCCAACTTTTAATTCAAATCCATTGAAGAAATTCCAGCTACCCTGAGGCTCAATGCGTGGGTGTTCACTCCACTGTTCGGAAGAAAACAAAATAAACGATCAGCTCTCCCCTCAGGAGAGGAAAAATTCGGCTCCACTTCGCTTTGTGTGATCGCAGCGACAGTGAAAAGGGCTCGGAATCATAGCAGCCACACATTTATCCCGGCAGTTGTCGTTGCAGCCAAGAAGGCAGATAGTCCGATTTCCCGCAATCGTCTGCTATTTATCCCTTTTCCTTTAATTTCCGAATTCATCGTTTTTAGTTTTCTGTCGCGTCCACTAGGCGACTAAAATCGTTTGGTTTTATTCTGACTGGTGCAAGTTTGATAAAATTGCGCTAGAATTTGTGGAAGTTAAGAGAATGGAAGCAGACTCAAAACGGCCATCTGGTGTTTAAGCAGGTAAGGCTCCGTTTCGTTTTTCTATTTTTTCTCAACAGGTGGGTCATACTCAACAGGTTAGGAGACTGTTATTATTATAAGACTGTTGTATTTGATATTCTGCCAGTAATTATAGTAAATTAAATCATTGTTATCAATGTGACATATTGTATTACGAATGTCATTGTTTATATCATTCAGATTAAAAAACTTTTCGCAGAGAAACTTAAAACAGTTTTATAAGATATATTCCATTAAATGTTTTTTTAAAAAAACATTTATTTAAATAGTTGCAAAATATTAATTTTAGTCATTGAGTTATGACTTTTAAGCATAACAATTTGGAGTGATAGTTATGCATAGCACTATTTAAATTAAAATAAACTCCAACTAACTGAAAGTTCTTAATTTTAATATTTTATTTTGATAGGTGTGGAGTTTGAGTATGATATGGCATTGGCATTTGTAATTGCTTCTTTTATTCAACTGCATTGTTTCAAATATAAATGTACAGCTTTATATCTTAGAATCATTTTGTGTAAAATAACAAAAAGAAAGTTTAAACTATAAACAATTTTTTCATAGACTTTTTCATTTCATAAATTAAAAATTAAGTTCAAATTTATATTTGAAATTCTACATTTTTTTATACAATAAAATTTGCTTGTTTGCTTACGTACATTTTTGAAAAGTTGTTTAATTAAGAAAAATTAATAGTACAATTTACCAAAAGAGTAAGACAACTTTTTTGAATCATAAAAATAAAGTTAAAATTTTAAATTTCATAAGTACTAGAAAATAAAAAAACGATAAAATGAGGTAGTGTTTTTAATAAATTAATACTTTTAAAATTAAATTTAAACAACTGAGCTGGTCGAAATTTGTAAGTAAAAATTTTCTGGAAGATAACTCTGTAGTTTTTTTATATTTCCTTGAATAAATTTAAGGAATGAGTTTTTTAATAAATTTATTATTTAGAACATTCAAAGTTTACATAAGATAAAAAATTTGAAAATTCATTTAAATAAAAAAAGTTTTTAATGTGAATTTATTAGACAAATTTGAGATGTACATCGAAAATGCCATTTTAATTTTTGTATAACCTTAGACATATAGAAGCAAAAATCGCTTTTGAGGATAGTATTTGTATGAATTACGCCATAAAATGTTTGTGCGATGTTTTCAATCATGTATATTTTTCAATTGAGTAAAAATTAAAATTTTGTTTCTTATCTATTTTAATGAAAAAGTAACTTTGTTACTTTGAGAAAAATGTTTTAATTTTTATATCAAGAAAAAAAATTAAATGAAAAGTATTTAATTATAAAAAATGCTTCTTATTTTGCATGGAGCAGGTTATTTAGTTTCATAATACATATTTGTTTATTTCAGTTAAAAGTAAATTCTTATTTTTATTATTTTTCGAGTAACGCTTACCAGACATAGAGATTTTTAGAATATTTTCTGAGATAAATCTCTTAAATTATACCTATTTGAAATAATTTTGACCTAAACTTTTAAAGCACTGTTTTCAAATGTAACCGTTTTTCAATTTCGTAAAGATTATCTTTTTTATAATTAGTTTTGTTTTTTAATGAAAACATTAGTGAGGTTTGTCCTTTAAGAAAATGTAACTTTTATTTGAAGAAAACAACTTATCAACCATTTTATACTTCTTATCTTTGTTATTTTTAAATAATTTTAAACAAAATAAAGGCTAGCTAGAGTTAAACAATTTATAAACTTACTACTCAATAACTATTACTTTAATGTTTATTTTTAGAATTAGGAATATAAATACAGTATATACAGTGTGAAATATAAGTGCGATATATACAGTGTGATATATAAGACTTAAAATTAAAAACGATTACTATTCAATTTTGAAAAAAAAATCACGTAAAAACAATGTTAATTAAAGTTAAGCATATTACAAACTTTTTGCTCAATAACTATGACTTATAACTTCGTTTTTAAAACTATTCAATATACAGTTTGAAATTTATAAAACTTAAAAAAAAACACCATTTAACTTGGTATGTTACGGACATTTATGGTATGTTTTAGTACATTTTGCTAAAAGTAGTTTTTTGGATAAAAGTAAGTTTTTGGATAAAAGTAGTTTAAAAGTTAGTAGTTTCTTCGCGTAGTTTTGACCAGTTTGAACTATTCAAAGCAAATTATAAAACTTGTTTTGTTAATAATGACTAAGTTTTATGTTCATTTTGAATGAGTTATCTTATTTTTTGTAAAATGAACATTTCATTTAAACGACCTATTTTTTCCCTTTAACTCCAGTACAATTTTGCTTTATAAATTTATTTTGAATTTTATTGCAAAGTGTCTTGATTGTTCTTGTGTGATGGTGTATTTTTTTTAACCAATAATAAAAGCTCGAACTGTTTTTCATCTGTTTTTCTTTGTAGATTATCTGTACTTGTTTAAACAATATGAGTTCGAAATTGGTTTTACTTAGGCTTTAAAAATATGTACTAGATGAAAAGATAGTAAGATAAAAAATATACTTGTATACTTTAAGAGTTTTGCTTTTTATTATAAAAGAAGATAATACGTGAAAATAATGACGAAAATTCTTGGAAATTTAAATTTTTTTTTTATATATTTAAATTAATATTTTAATATTTTTCAAAAATTATTATTCCTTTTCATTAAACACATTAGTTTTTAGGATTAAACACAGTATGTATATTGCTTTTGAAATTGCTGTGAATTGCTTTTTGGAAAACTTTCAGAGTATTCTTGCTCCAGATAATTTGCAATTTTTTTTTCAAAAACTATTTAAAAAAATAAATATGAGTTTTCTATTGGGCTTATAATATAATTTCATGTTAGTATAAACTTTTCTTTAGATGATTATCCAATTTCGAGTTAAGTGCCAAAGATAAATGCTTCTTGAATAATTGGTTGAACTGAATAAAAAAAAGTAAAATGCTTTCTAATTTATAAAATTATTACTTAATGAAGTTTAATGTGTTTTGAGTATTGAGCTTTTAACATTAAAAGAATTGATAATTTAAAAGCTTAATGTTATCTTAAGTTTTAACGCAATTAATTTGATTATAAATGTTTCTAAAAGTATCTAATCATGCTACTGTATCAGTGCAAGTCTTATACCAATTTTTTTAATGCTTATAATAAAAATTCATCATTTAAACTAAATAAAAAAACGATTTCAACAACACACATTGAAACTTTTTCTAAAATATATTAAAATTATCTAAGTATAAAATGTTTATACCAAAAATTACTGAATTAAAAATACATATTTTGTACCCATGTCTTAAAATAAATGATCTCCTGATATTTATTTATGATAATAATAAAATAGATTATGAAAACTATATAAATTATTTTTTAACTCCATCAATATTTTCCCAGTTTTCAAAATACTTTATATAGGTTCTGGTTATTTTTTAATTACACATAAACTTTCAAATAGTACACTGAGAAAAAAGTATGTTAAAAACTACCAGCTTTTATTTCTGGCTCTACGAGAATATTGAATAGATCGGTAATTTTTACCAAAATGCTTTGGTATTGACTTTGGGAAAATTAACAATAAAATATGGTTTCATAATATATGATAATATTTGGTAATAAATGTAACATGGCGTAAAACTATTTATTAGGTTAAATTCACTTCTCAGTTTTGAATTTTTTTATGAACTATGTGGTAATAAGAGCTATAATTTTTTAAAAACCAGAATTTTCGGTAAGCAGTTACCATATAAAAATAAAAACTACCAAATGAATGGTATATTGTAAAAACGGTATACTTTGAAAACTACCAAATGAATACAGTATATTTTAATTATGCTAACCAAATAATTTTTTTAAATCTAATGTTGATTATCATACAGTACAATGATTTTTCCAGAATATTTTTCTGAGAGAATATAAAAATATTTTTTAACCTCATTAATATTTCCGAGTTATCAAAAATAAAGGAATAAATTTCATCTATGTATGCATAGCATTTCTTTTAATTTTTCAAATAGTATAGAAATAGCGGGTCATTTATGAATAAATGAATGAAAGAATTTTTTTGGGCGTAGTGTTTGTGCTTGCTTGATTTTATATGGATATAGATTTTACATGAGACATTTATTTATTCATTCATGATTTTTAAATAATTTATTTTCAACTTAATACTTCGACCTATCGCATAAAATATTAAAATAGATCTGAATACATTGAATTTTCAATATTCTCAATTTTTAAGCCTTCTTCGAAAGTTCTAGAATGACTTTTTCCATCGCTAATAAATTGCGAAACAAAAGCATAAGTTTCGATCTTCCCTTATTTACGAAGGGATAATCTTCAGTTATTTATTTTATGAAATATTTATATCATTACATTTTAGATGTATTTGGTAATATTTGAATAATTTATTTATTTCATTTATTTGTTTTAAAATTGGATTATAGATTTTCTGCTACTGCTTAGTTTAAGGATTGAATTGTATCACTTATTTCCTTTCAGATATTTGTTTTATTTTTTTCTCGCTGGCATATTTTTTGAAACGTTCTAATAAATTATTGCTTTGAAAATGTTTTTGCCTCTATTTAGTTTCTTTCCAATTGGATGAAATCTATTGATTCGATATTTTCTTATTTGTTCAGTTCTATTTCTGTCACTAAATCTTTCTCGCTATTTTGAAGGAAATGTTTTAAATTCAAATGTTTGATCTTTTAAAACATGAATTTATTACAAAATTTATTAATGCTCGACCTTTTAATGAAACAATTTTTTTTTCATTTAAAGATTCATAGCATATTCATTCATAAATTTATAATAAATTATTATANATTGATGATGTTGACACATTGTTCTCCTCTAAAGAGCAAATACATAAATTTTGGAATTAAAAGACAAGAAGTTGTTATTGAAAAAGGTTACATGATGCTGTGATAAAGACATTTTATGTATATATATATATATATATATAATTTTTTTTTATACATTTTTTTTATAGGATATTAAAAACGCCAATCTCCTCT